TCATAAATTATAATTCAACAAACGTACGAATTTGTTGTATATTTCAATGGAAGTTATTTTACACATCATACAAATTAATTATGTGAATCACAAAATGTGTAATTTCGAGTATTTATTATTATTTATTGCACTTTACAAGGTACTTTAAGTAAATAATAGGAGAATCAATTTTAGAAATATTATATATTACGGAAGTGAATTTAATTAAAGAACAATATGTCTCAAATGAATGTAGAGCGATTTGTATGATGTTGTATAATATATGTATGTGTATATTATGTTTATTATATAGGCGTATTTATTAACAATAATAAACTTTAACAAAAAAATTAATTTTTACGCTAAGTTCAAGGTCGAATTTTCGTTCGAATTTTCTAGTAAAATAATTATTGTTTTTTATTTAATGTTTTCATGTAATTATATTAATTGAGATAATAGTCACACCCCTGATTACTAATTTTACCTTATCCTATATAAAGATTTCTAAAGAAACTATAACTTAATTATCTCATAGAAAAAAAATTTACAAATATAATTTTAAATGATAAATAAATGACAAAACTTGTATATATAATTTATATAGTTTATATATAGATTGGTTTTAGCCTTAATTTAACGTTTTATAAGTAATAGAGAATACGAATCCTCTCGGACCACCGAAATGGGTTAGCTCTGAATATTTTTTAATATTCAAAGAATATTTTATCTTTTCTAGGTAAAGATAAAGTGAGAATATTCTTCTAACCAAATATTAAACTCTTCTCATTTACTTAAACTTGTTTTATTTTACTATTTACTATGGAAACTTCACCATTAAATTCCAAGTCTGACATTGTCTGGTACTTAATGGGATAAAGAGCATGTTAGTTTTCATTAAAGGTTAAAAATATCATCAGGAGCAGTTAAGTTTCACAAATAATTGTCGAAAGACTATTTAATTCACAAAAAGTCATTGTATGTGACATTGGATCCGACTAAGTGATAGAACCACACTTTTTCAAAAATGTTGTCAGCGTGATACAAATCGTTAATTGCGATCACTACAAACACATGTTAAAGATATATGATTTCAACATAATCCAAACAATACTTCATGTTTAAACGTCATTGCGGTAGCAGTTCACTGAACGTGTAATTTCACTTTTAGATATTGGCAATTGATGACACAAAACTATATGATTTGTTATTATCGGACTTTTATGTGCTCTTATGCAAAGGATCATATTTATTTATCTAAAGACCGAGCTATTACCAGCAATGTATCGACAAGTGATTGAATGTATTGACCTCTAAGATGTTCCGTGGAAAAAAGTTGAATAATATTGCATTGCATACCTAATTGCAAACAATATATTAAACTAATAATTTAATCGAAAACTCAATTAGAAATGTATTATATTTACTTTGACTTCTGAAAACACGAAAAGGATAAACCTGTATTGTATATATCATTTCTTTTATTAGTTACTGTTTTAATATGGGTACTTGTCCTGATTACATATTCTCGAAAACAAATTTTCTCTGAGTTAAAGAAATTGAAAATCCTGATTGTAATGTAATTATTATGCGATATAAATAGTTTTGTATTTTTATATTAGAAACTCACGTTTGTTTATATTTAAATAATATAATAAATATATTAATCCATTTTTAATTTCCAATTTCGTGCAATTATCCCTAACAAGTTCTCTACTACATACTATAAAATTTTGAATAGTTACTCTAAACTATCTTAAAGTAAACAGATATTGTTTGAAAAGTAATATAATAATTATATTAAATATTTATGAATGGTCGCTTGTTTTTTTTTCTCTTAATAGTTACACAAAAAATATACACACAAATATATTATTATTATTAAAGTAACAATTGGCAAATATTGCACTTCCTGTTGTATAATTAAATGCGAAAATGAAGTACGATCACACTTCGAACATAACACGATCTATATTTTCACAGAATCAGTTTAGTGTGCTCATATTAATCTCACTTAAGTTTATTTTTAGCATAAAATGTATCTTCAGTAATCTTAAATCTCTTACTTAGATGTCTGCCCGTTTAGCGATTTAATTCAATTAAAATCCACTAAATAAATAATAAAAATAGCGACGTCAAAGACCAAACTTGTGTTCAGTTAACATTAAAGTATCGTAACGTTCTGGAAATTCTGGAGCGAAATTGCCTTAGGAGCCTATAAAATATTTAAATCTTAATATATTTAAAACGTATTTATAATTTTATTTAATATTCACAATATGTTTTCCAAGAGAACGATCACGTAAAAAATGATTAGATGTAGTAAATAGTGACCTATAGAAGAAACCGAAGAAATAGATAAGAATCATTCTCTATAGTTCGACAGATAATAGTTATTAGACCCTTTAATAATTACATCATATTTTTCCAAGAGGACGACTATACAGAAAATGTTTAGATATAGTGACCTAAAAAAACAGAAAAAATCGATGAGAATCGGAGGCTATTATTTGACAAGTAATACTCATTAGACCCTTTAATGACAGAAAATGATTAGATGTCGTGAAAATAGAAAATATAGAAAAAGGTTTTAGTCATAATTCAACTAGTGGGAAAATATTTTTTTTGCTCAAACAGAAATTAATTATTTAATATTATATTAATATAAAATGATTAAAAATAAAAATTGTTTCAACTTAGCTTTATGAGAGAGCCATTAAATGTAGTTAAAATGTTTCGGATGTATCTCCCACTACTTCGAATGTATCTTATAACTTAAGTTCAAAACATATTTACTGTGAATTCCACTTAAGATAACTTATGTTATCAATATTTAAAAATATTTGTAAACGAAGACTATAAGTAGCTTATGGGTGATATGTGACTCCTTCACAACTTATATTTATAATTTATTTAATTGAATAACTTATTATTATTCAATTATGTATTAAAAAGTTGAAAGTTTAAACAAATATTTGATAACTATAACTTCTGTTTATTTAGCTTTAAATACAATATTTTATTTATGCGTATCCTACAAAGCCTTTTTCCTATGATCTGAAAACCCTTTTTTATAATAACGGTTTTGTTTCTTCATAAAGACACCTGCTAATAATCGTTTTCAAGCGGAAGCAATCAATCGCTCACTCAAAAACGATTCGTTGCTATTCACATTTTATTCTCTTCATACAAGTATTCGTATAGAATAAGGATAAGTACTTATGCTTGGCGGAGTAGATAGCACAATAGGAAAGAAATGATGGATTTTCGATACAATATGTGAATTGTTTTTGTAATTTCGATTGGTTAGACTTATTGACTAATTGCTTGAAAATTATTCGCTTCATAAACGATTAATTTTACTAATTTAAGGTTTTTTGATATGCATATGAAATATTCATACAAATATTTGTTAAAGACCTACATATTTCATATATCCACTAGTTTTCAACCAAATAATAGTCGAATATTTAAATTTGAATTTAATAATATTGTCGAAACTAATTTCATTAACAAAAATTCAAAATCTTAAAAAAAATATATAAAAAATTGTATTTGTTCTTAAGAGTAAATATTGCCACAGTTGTTCTCAGGGAAGAGTTTAAAATTTGCTGACGGTCACAATTAATTATATAAACAATCAAAAATTTGACATTTGTGTAAAAGTCTTGTTTTTGAAAATAGTATAAATAGATTAAAAAATATTGCCTTATAAAATTCCATTGTTTTAAAATAGCTTACAATTTATGTCGATATTTTACATACAAGTATCTGACAAACTATAGTACGATTAAATACAAAATGACCACTTACGTGACTTATTTTAAAAAAAGTTCATAATTAACTGCATAAATTATTAAGTGCAATTTTTATCAAATTAAACAATTGTTAAGATAGAATAGCAAATATATTTGTTTTACTGAAACTATTGGTAATAAATATTTATGAAATTCTGAATTTGCAACTAGCCATAAGTTTACCATGTTTATCTTTCGTGTAAATTATTGCAGATACATGTTTTAAGACAGCAAAGATAATAACTGAATGCATAATTAAAAAAATTATTAAATTACAAATTTATTATAAACCTTTCAAACGTTATTTATTTCACAATAGTTCCACAAACTAATATTATTAAATATCTCCGACTTGTACTGTTTACAATTTAAATATTAAGATATCTGAATTTTATTTAGTAATATTATAAGAATATATAATATGTTATATTATATTATAAATTATATATTATAATATTATAAATTAAAAACATTTTGTAATAATTAGATCAACTGTTGACCTATAACCAAATTATGTATTTGTCTGTGACTATATATAATCCTCCCACAACACCTGTAGTTGTGTGGTATACATACTTATAAGTTGACATAAGTATAATTTTGTATTTTAAAAAATAATTGTCAGTATTTAATGATTTTTTTTTGTTTAAACAGCTAATAACAATGTTTGTATTTTAAATTAATTTTCGTTCTTTTATTGTATTTTATGTATCTTCTTCAAATGAGAGGTTTATTGAAGTGCATAAGTCAATTTTTCTTGCCAAAATCGACTTTATTCATCAATATATGTTAGGCTTCCTCAATTAAAACAAAATCATAGTCAATGTTTCTCTAATATTTCTACGTCTCTATTATAGAACGATTTAGCTAGCTTAAGTCTCAAAATATGTTAAAGCCTCAAAGACGTCATATCTGAAAGAAATCACTTTTAGCTTCTAGTTAACTATTGATGTGATAGTTCACTTTTCAAATGACTCTCCAAATTATTTAAAATTGGGAGATATGAACAAAAGTTCTTTATATAACTATCTCAAACAGTATAATTTGACTATATGTAAAGCTCTTTTAACACACTTTCAGCATAAAATCGGTCTAAATGTTTTCTTAAAAAATATTCTTTAA